AGTCTTGACGGCATTCGAACCAGACTGTAGCAAAAAAAAAATTGAATAGTCACATTCGAACCAGACTGTAGTCACGTTGATGTTGCTGCTTCAGATCTGGAGAGAAAAAAAAAAGAAAAAAATCGAAAATAACGAAAGGAAGGTGGTGTGATGTGTAGGAGGCGACAACATGAGTTTTTTGGGAGGTTTGACACCGTAGCAAGTCTTGACGGCATTCGAACCAGACTGTAGCAAAAAAAAAATCGAATAGTCACATTCGAACCAGACTGTAGTCACGTTGATGTTGCTGCTTCAGATCTGGAGAGAAAAAAAGAAAAAAATCGAAAATAACGAAAGGAAGGTGGTGTGATGTGTAGGAGGCGACAACATGAGTTTTTATGGAGGTTTGACACCGTAGCAAGTCTTGACGCCACAACCCTAGACGGCGGCTGTGATCTCGGTGGTTGGGTGAGTGGATAAACAGACAGAAGGGTATAGATTCTGACCTGATTAATGTGAAAAGGAGGGAGGAGGGCGGCGACGCTGGTGTAAATCTCAAATGCAAGCGGCAGCGGCAGATCTGCAAAGAAGAATACGAAAAAAAAAAAAAAAAAGAGAGGAAATAGAGATTACGAGAGAACAGAGAGAGTTTCACGTGAGAGAGAACGGCAAAGAAGAAGGGGAAAAAAACTGTTGTTAAGGGTAATTATGTCTTATCCTATCTTAATAAGGGGGTCTCACTAATTAAGATTGGGATATGGGTGTGAGAAAAAGTCTAAAAAGTCAAGTGGGTTTTTTACATAATATTTTCCATTTTAGGGGGGGATTGCATATTTCCCCAAGAAAATAATAATTCTACTCAATTAAAAATGTTAGATTTTCAACTTGCACATGTTTGGTTGTGAATTATTAATCACATTATTAGTAATTAATCATTTTGTTTAAGAATAACTATTTGAGTTGAATGACTGATGAATCACCTGAGTACAACGTTCAATTAAGTATTTTTAGGTGGAACATCTCCAATATAATCAGAAACATTTTCTCATATATATGTTCATATATATATACATATATATATATATATATATATATATATATATATATATATATATATATATATATATATATATATATATATATATATATATATATATATATATATATTAATTTATTTCAAAGGTAGAGTGCCAAAATTGTAAATTTCAAGGATGTAAAATGGGATTAAGTCATAATCATGAAGTCATTAGTTCTAATTACAATTAAGACAACACTGTCGATTATAGCTTAAGCACACATCAATAAAACAACTTAAAGGGATTTTTGAGCTAACAATTTGGGGAAAAAAACAATTATATTATATATCCACGATTAGTGGATTATAATTTGAATTATAAAACGAAAATTAAAGGACTAATGATGATGCAATTTGTGCATAATGACATCGTCACTAAATAATTATTTAATTAATCTCAGCAAGTT